GCAACATGACTTGTTCTATGACAGCATTAAACAGGGTTTAGGAGCCGCCAACTCCTCCATGAATGCTTCAAAGCAGAACAGGATAATCTTAAAAGTCAACAAACCCCGATTTTCAATCCAAATGAACAAAATGTTCAGTACTGTTTCTGAGAAACATTTTAAAAACATTCAAAAACTATTTTAGTTAAGTATACATTATTGAATACTTAATCAAATATATAAAGTGTACTGTCTAAAGACACTGCGCTGGCCTTATGCTAATTGAAACTAGTGTTTACACAGTAAATATCTGAGGTAGTCTATAAAATTTTTATTACCGATCAAGAATGTGTACTTCAGTAAAAAAATCCTCAAGTACCTAAGTCTTAAAGCATCTTGTGACTCATCCTGTACACATCAGCTGATTCTCAAATCATAACTTGTAGGACTTCCAATTTTAGGCAGACAGACATCCCCTCCCTGTCATGCTCCTAGTCACCTGCTTTTTATACCTAGTGTGCAATCAGAATGTCATATTTATTACTAGTAAGCTAGTATTTTTCGTGAGATAAAGAAAATTGAGAAAACTCATAATGCAACTATGTAATAAGTTGCAAAATAAAATAATCCTGTTTTCTATTCCTCCATCTCTTGATTGACACAAAAATAAAAACTTTTAAAACAAAAATCAGATATTCAACACAGCATTAATATGCCACTAAAACAGTAACTAAGCATGTAAAAACTTTTCACAACTTCATGGGATGATTAAAACTTCAAGATTACTTTTTTAAACTTGTAAACTCATATAAGATGAATTTCCACAAAAACAGGCAAGCTACCTTTAATGCCCTATGGTTTGATAGTATAAGATTGACTTTTAATTATTACAGTTTTTAAACCGTTCAAATGGCAGCCCTGCCCAGTGGTGCTACATCATCAGTGTTGGCCTGTGCAGCAAAGAGTCTCAGGTTTGATTCCTGGTCCAGGGCATGTACCTGGGTTGCAAGTTGGATCTCAGGCCCCAGTTGGGGAGTATGCTGCCGGAGGCAACCAATCAATGTCTCTCATTGATGTTCTTCTCTCCCCCATCCATTCTCTAAAAATCAATGAAAAAAAAATGTCCTTGTGTGAAGATTAACAAAAAATAAGATAAAAAATCCTTGAAATGGCATTACTGTTGTAACTTGATGTGAAATTCCAAAAGCTAAACTTTCTCAAATCTTAGCTAGTGATTCAAAGCATACAAATTTTTGAACTGGTTAATCCATGCCATGAAGGGCACATCATAGCTAGAAGAAACAGCAACATTTAATAATCTTGAGTAAAATAGAACCATTGATATGCTTACATTATAAAAGTTAAGAATATCTGATATGTCTACATTAAGGAAATTCTTACCAATTACTTCTACTTATAATTTTATCAACACATATATAGGATGCTGCCAGGGTGAGGGTGTAGGGATGGGACACCTAATGCAAAAAAACGAACAAAACAAAAATAAACAACAACAATAAAAACAAACCTCTCAGCCCTAGCCATTTGCCTTAGTGGACAGAGCATCAGCCCATGGGCACATGCCCAGGTTGTGGGCTCGATCCCAGGACCCCCAGTAGGGGCCATGCAGAAGGCAGCCAATCAATGATTCTCTTTCATCACTGATGTTTCTTTCTCCCTCTCCCTTTCTCTTTGAAATCAATAAAAATCTATTAAAACAAAAACAACAACAACAAAAAAGTAAAATCTTCCAAAAAAGAAAGGAGAAAAATTGATTTTGGTCCTATGTAGGGAGTGACTGGGAAAGGCCCCTGAGCTGATTGTCCTCTGAATCCAGTAGTGCCCGGCAGAGCCATGCCCTGGAAACATACCTTGCCAGAGACAGGTGTGTTGTCAGTCTGACCATTAGCTCAGGCGCCAGGGGGTGGATTTCATTATCTAAATCCAGCCAGGTACCAGGAGCAAACACAATTATCTGGGTCCACCCAGAAGTGACAATTACAAAGAAGTCACAAGAATGCACATATTTTTTTAATCTTTTTTTTAAAAATATATTTTTATTGATTTTGTACAGAGAGGAAGGGAGATAGTTAGAAACATCGATGAGAGAGAGTCATCGATCAGCTGCCTCTTGCACACCCCCTACTGGGGATATGCCCGCAACCAAGGTACATGCCCTTGACTGGAATCGAACCAGGGACCCTTCAGTCCCCAAGCCGACGCTCTATCCACTGAGCCAAACTGGTCTCGGCTATTTTTTTTTATCTTAAACTTTAGTAAAACTTCCTGGTATCTTACAGTATAAAATAAACTTGCTGTATCGCTGTATCGTCTCTGAGTCCTTTCCCTACTGCTTCTGTGTCTATTTCATTTTCTCAATCCCCTGTCGCCCCTACTCAGGCCTCCTGTCTGCACTCTAGCTGTGCTAGTCTCAGAAAAGAAATATTTATAGACATACAAACACATTGAGCTTCAAGTTCTGAGGCCTTATTCTAAGTACCTAGACACTATTATTGGCACTTCAAAACAAAATAGTTAAAGACCTAATTATATTAGATGTGAGATCAAAGGCCTAATATTAAAAGGTGAATAAGAAGATGGACAAAGTAAATCCTTTCAACCCCAAAAAAGTACTTGACTATGATGACTACTAGCTATAATTTATGGAATAATTATCTGGGTCAGAAATAAAGAAAAATAATAACTTTCTTATGTCAATGTTATCTCCAAAAAATTTGAAAAAGACAATTCCTTTGTTATGTTACATATCTCAAAAATGTTGCTTATCTTCTTCAAGATGTTATAAATCGTGGAGACGGTTTTGGCTCAGTGGATAGAGTGTCGGCCTGCGGACTGAAAGATCCTAGGTTTGATTTCGGTCAAGGGCATGTACCTTGGTTGCGGGCACATCCCCAGTGGGGAGCGTGCAAGAGGCAGCTGATCAATATTTCTCTCTCATCGATGTTTCTAACTCTCTATCCCTTTCTCTTCCTCTCTGTAAAAAATCAATAAAATATATATTTTTTAAAAAGATGTTATAAATCCAAAGAAGATATTATAAATCAATATAAAGAATAAAACTATCTTTAGTAGAGTTTTGTATGCTAAAGTTTCACCTTAAAGACCTAAAATAAATAAAAACTTTGTATGTTTATTTAAAATAGTATTTTTTTACAAAGCAGCCTTGGTAATAAATGGCTAGAGTTTCTCTGAGTCTTCTAAAAAAGAAGCTTCCATTAGACAAATACCTTGTTATCCTATGGACTAAACGGACTCAATTCTGTTCCAACATAATCTGCTGTATTTATGCTTATTAGACACCCTTAACTTCATCACTACCCCAAAACAAGTGTACTCACCCGTTTCTTGAATAATCATAAAGACTATTGGTTAAAAAAGAAAATGTCTTTAAAAATTCTTACCATCATGGATATTTTATTTATTTTAATCCTCACTTGAGGATGTTTTCATTCATTTCTAGAGAGGAAGGAAAAGAAAGAAAAAACGTCTATGTGAGAACATTGGTTGCCTCTTGTACATACCCCAGTAAGGGATTGAATCTGCAACCTACATATGTGCCATGACCCGAAATCAAACCCACAACCTTTTGGTGTGCGGGATGTTGCTCCAACCGAGCCTCTCAGCCAGGATCCATCATGGATAATGAAAGCAATACTTATTACACAAACCATCTTTTTACAAAAAGGTTATGCTACATTCAGATATGGAGGAAAAAATACTTAATTAATAATTTTAAAATCAAACTAAGAACTAGGATGAATAACAGAAATCTAGCTTTTATAAACAGATAGCATGTAGTATTTGTGGCAACCAAAGGGAGTTTATCCAGGCTTAGAATTAAAAAGAAGGAGATAAACACATTACAATTTGATGTATGCTGCTTGTTCCTTCAGTTTTCACAAAAGGAAAGACTTATATGTTAAAAATTTGCCATGTTTCTTACTTCTCTTCAATTTAGTTATGTTTGATAAGCAATCTCTTAAGATTTCAACTCTACAAGATTTGATGCACAAGAACATAGAAAATGTATGAAGGGAAAAATAAATTGTTAAATTAGTCAGACTGTTAAGATATTATAAAAAAAACCTATATTCCAGAACAAATGTGGCCAAGGACTTAAAAAAAAAAAGATTAAGCCTTTATCTAGGGAATATTAAACAAAACCTATGTGATTCATATTAAAGATTATGATGTAACTTTGGATATTGTTATACAGTTAGCCAGTTTCCTAAAGAATAACAAGTGCATGATTTCCCTCTAGAAACAGGAAAATGAACATTAAACATAGCAAAGATATCACAGAGGGACTGGGCATTGTAAGAGTTAGAAAGTAAGGGTTAAATCATATCATTCTACTCTTTTGAATTCTAATCCTACCAACTCAGAGTAAATAGGGCTTTCCCTCCCAGAGTTTTCACATACATATGTGAATACAGGCACAGAAACTTGTCATGTTTATTTGGGTAACAAATGGTCTCCAAATTATATTGAAAAATAAATCCTAATAATCACTCATGTGAAAGAATTTTAGCACACTTTTCACAAATTTATGTAAAAAAGAAAATACACATAATTTATATCTTAAACTTTTTTATTCCCTACCAGAGACATTTTGTCCTGTTTTCTTTGTTTTCTACAATTTCCAACTTGCACCTGTATTTAATACTGCTTTAATCTGCTGAAGTCATTAACTGATTGCTTTCCTAAATCTAAGGATTATATAGTTTTAGTATAAATATATATCACATATTTTCGTAAAATTTTGACAAAACCGAATAAGCATGCCTTGTCTTAAGTCCATGCTCTTTCCACTGTTTATAAAATCTGATTTAATGATCAAAAATTCTTGGTTGTCATTCTTCAGTTACAACAAACAGTCTTCCTCCTGAACTGCCACTCACTTCTTTTAACATAATAACAAGCAATAGAAAAACCAAAGAAATTATCTCAATCTTACTTCTTCCTTTAGATACTACAAAATACTGTGAACTTTTTTAAAAAAAGGAACAAATAAATCCAAATTTTAATACATTCAAATGAGCTGCGAATCCTTTAAGGTAGACACCTTGGAAGGCCACAGTTCATTCTCTTAACTATGTTACCACTGCTCAAAATACCTGTAAAACTCTTTTGAGACTGCCTCCAAAGCCAGTTAGTTGTATACTTTCAAAGATTACCTCAAAGATTTAATTTTTAGAAATGGTAAAAAGTTACTCAGTGCCAAATAATGGTAACTATAGGACATTTAATCTTGGTAGTACTTTAAATACAAACAAACAAAGTGTAATAGCTTTTGTGACTTAAAATTAGCTATGAATGCAATTCTAAAAGAGCAAAATCCAAGACTTTGAGCAATGGTAAATAGCTGGAATTAGGAAACTATTTTCCAGTATGACACTATGCAGAGTAACATTCATTTAGCTGTCTATGTTCTGGCATATTTGTTTATGGTGAACATTCTAAGAGTTAGAACTTACTCTTTGAAAAAGGAATTATCATTCTTATAAAAAAAATTTTTTTTTATTCCTTTAAAGCATCACTGTTAAAGTACTATGCAAATGTTTTGTTAGAAACTAGTTCTACTTACTTTCTCAATAGACTTACTCTAAAAACTTGAAAGCAAACAGCTAACTTATTTGCTCTCAAGCTTTTAAAAATTAACTGATGATAAAATTTGAAATTTCTAAGGTACTAATAACCAAAACAAAAACCCAAGTGTAATAAAAACATCAAGAACCAAACTACAATTTCTGAGCTGCACTGTTTATTTTGCTGCTTGAAACCTAAGTGACAGTATGCCACTATAATTATGGGGTTTCATCTAAACCTTTACTACACTGCAGGTACAGAAATATACGGACACATTTTTGGAGAATTGACATTTTGCAAAATGCAGCAAACATTTTAATTTATACATGAGAAAAGGAAGTGTTCAAAAGGGTATGCATTTCAAGTTATTGCAGGTTATTTGTGAGAGAATTTCTGTAGGTAAAACATGTTTAAATTTAACCAACAGTAGCATGTCAGTGTATTTAAAATCATGACAAAAATCTTCTCTCTGGTCATGTTGCCCATGACAAATTACTATGATGTTGTATGTTTAGGGCAAGATGTCAATACAGCATAAATCCCATGGCATTTTGGTTTTCTTCTGGAGATTAAAGCTGTTTTTCTTGGGATAAATGCAGCAGCAAAACACAAACCAGTTGATCAAAAAAAGCACTTCTGCCATAACTCCAATAATTTTCAGGACACATCAACCGACAGTAGTTTTGCCATTCCCAGTTCTTAAGAATTACATCTCTGCACTGTTGCCTTAAGTATGTCTGTAAAAGCTTGTTCTTTGTTAAGCCAGTTTACTGACTACAGCCTGGTTGAGAGAATTTAGTTGGTTGGTCCATTTATCTAGTGCAGTGTATCGGGCACCACCCCTCTTCTGATGATCCAGTTCAAGGAGTTGGTTGACTTGATCAATTCGGCCATGAATAGTGCTGGAAATAAATAAAAGAAGACACGTCTACAAGCTATTTTCACTAAGCATATCTTCTAGACCTGTGGTCAGCAAACTGCGGCTTGAGAGCCACATGTGGCTCTTTGGCCCCTTGAGTGTGGCTCTTCCACAAAATACCATGGCCTGGGCAAGTCTATTTTGAAGAAGTGGTGTTAGAAGAAGTTTAAGTTTAAAAAATTTGGCTCTCAAAAGAAATTTCAATCGTTGTACTGTTGATATTTGGCTTTGTTGACTAATGAGTTTGCCGACCACTGTTCTAGACTAATATTTCATAAATATCCACAATATCAATAAATGCAAAAAGCCCCACCCCACTGCTAGCTATATTATAAATGATTGAGTTCAGGGTTAATTATAATAGTCATTGCCTTATTTAAACTCCAGACAGAAACCATACCTGTCATCAATTTCATTGAAAGAACCAACAGGTATAGATTTATCCAATTAATTAAGAACAAACATAACTTGTGAAGCTTTAAATAACATACTGCTTTTAAAAAATATAATTTAAAAATTATTATATATCATATCTTGTACAAAAAATACTAATCATTAAATAATTCTTTAACTATACATAAGCCATATACTGAATGAAAAATTCTTTCTTAAAAGGCATTTAGAACTTTTTCACTGATCATGTACTTTATATCCTCATTCATTTATTTTTTTAAAAATCACACTTATAAATATTTCTCTTTTAGCAAAAAATCATAACCAGAGGATGTTTTCTAATGAAAAATCAAGAATTTATCTGCTACAGCCTTTGCCATCATCATTCAAACTTCATGGTCCTAAACATTTTATGATAAAAATGGCCAAATACTTACTTATCCAATATGCACTGCACCAGCAAGCTCTCCACATCAGCTACATCTATGTTTAACTCCTAAGACAAAAGAACCATTATAATTCTATTAATTAAACCTTTTTAAAAATCACGATTTTATAAAATCATTCTGATTTTAAATTCATTTCCACCACTTAAAGAAAAATTAGTGAAGAGAAAATTTATAACAAATTTCATTATCACTTCAAAATACTTCTGAGAGCACAGGTATGATAAAATTTAACTTTGTAACTTTTAAAATACATTCTTACCACAATTTTATTATGGTTGGGGTTAACTCTTCATCAATTATATATTTTAGCCACTACCCTCTCTTCTGTAATTTTCTCTGAGGCTGAGAGAATCTTTAAAAAGAAATTTAATGACTCTTATTTCTCTTTTCTGTTAACTCAATTTACACCAAGAAAACACAGAAAAATTCATATTAAAAGTAAAGCTTTTTAAAAAAAAATAAAAGTAAAGCTTTTAAGTTATGCTGTATTTAAGAAACATAATACTACAAAATGTTACAAAGTTAAACTATTTTAAATGAAAAAAACAGGCATAAATATTAAAATCCATTAATATAAATACCTTAGAAATAAAAGGAATATGTATTCTTGTGTAAGGCTTAATTAATTTTATGAGGACTTGTGTTCTGATGTTTCGCAATAGCTCTGAAAAGACAAAAATTAAGATGACATATTTGCATTTAAGTTTGTATATCTTTATGAATAATCATGTACTTCTTCAGTCTGGCAAGGATATAAGGTATTTGGATCTAAAAATATTTGGGCCCAACAAATGCATAATATGATTAGAAGCTTCTCCCGTAACTTTTTGTTATTACCTCCCTAATTTTGCTCATGTATGACATTACCTAAAATATCCCCCTGCCTTTTCAATGCTCCATACTCATCATTTCCTCTGTAGTTAACATCTTTCAAGAAGATATGATTTGCACCAGCGAAGTTCCTTACTTTATGCTCTCTTATAAATAAAACTTAAGACTATTACATTTTATTAGAGGCCCAGTACAAGAATTTGGGCACAGATGGGAGTACAGCCAGCCTGCCCTGATAGGCCCCCTATACCCACTTAGATCAGGGGAAAGCCCAGGGGAGGGGCTGTGGGTGGTTGGCTGACCAGCCCCTGGTTGAACCCCCTGCAGAGGGGACAATTTGCATATTAGCCTTTTATTATATAGGAGGATACAACGATTTTGTAACTTTCCCCAGTTTCATGTACAAGTGCCTTCTTAAAAAATACCAGATTGGAGTTCATGCATAAGGCTTCTATTGTTCTATTTCCACAAAGTACAATATAATTCTAGGTTCATATACGAACTTTAAAAATGTTTGTAGAATGAAAGGTAAAGAAAGGTGGGGAACAAAAACATTACTTCTAAAGTATCCTTTGGATTTTCCTAATACATCTGCAATTTTATATTCCCAAATGGTTATTAAAAAACCCCTCAATAGTTCTATAACAGGTGGGAATACTGGAGGTATAAGAGGTATAAGGAATGATTTGTCTTTGTGAATCCAACAGAACTTATTAAAAAATCTTACAACACTTGCCCAGCCAGCGTGGCTCTGGTTGAGTGTTGAACTATGAACCTGGAGGTCACAGTTTGATTCCAGGTAGGGCCCATGCCTGGGTTGCAGGTTTGATGTCAGTATGGGGTGTGCAGAAGGCAGCCAATCAATGATTCTCTCTCATTATTGATGTTTCTCTCTTTCCCTCTCTGAAATCAATAAAAATATATTTAAAAAAAAAATCTCACACTTACTTTTACAATTTTAACGTTTCAAAATAAACGCATCTCAGCATTATCTATAATGGGCTATTTTCAATGCTTTTGCTATTTGTTAAAAATAAATTCCAGCCCACCGGGTGTGGCTCAATGGTTGAACATCAACCTTGAACCAGGAGGTCACGGTTTGATTCCCAGTCAGAGTATATGCCCACCCCGGCTGGATCCCTATTCTGGGGCATGCAGGAGACAGCCAATCAATGATTCTTTCATCATTGGTATTTCTTCCCTCCCTTACTCTCTGAATTCAATAAAAATATATTTAAAAAAATAAATTCTAAAAATTAATTTAAAACTAATCATCAGTAAAAAACATGCAACAATATTTACATTAGAATAAAAAAGGAAAAGAGACAGCCAATGATGTCCATTCTTATATGAAATGGACATTATATAAGAACTTGATTATGTTAATACGAAACTGGCTGTGATTTCTTTAAAACATCTTTATGATTTCAGGGAGTATTCTATTCCATGACAATATTTAGAAATACTGCTACACTTTGCAATAAACAGAAGACAAACAGCTTAAGTCTATTCAGCTCCACTAAGATGTACTCTTAAGACAGTGATAAAGAAAGTAACAAATTCCAGTAGCCAAAAGAATATACCTTCAATGTGTTCCCTAATGAAAGGATCATCCATGATGTTGCTGTGATTTGTTTTCAGAATCTTTTCAAATTCAGTGATATCATTATTCTGATAGGCACTAACAGAAAAAGAAAAGTATATATTTTGTGAAACATAAAGAAGTCATGTATTAAATCAGAAAACCCAAAGAGCCTGTGTCTCAATTTTTATATGCAAAAACCTAAATTATATTATAGTTTGTCATGGGAATCGGAGTTAAAAACACACACATTCAGCTGCAACTAAAATGAATTTTCTTTTTAATGCTTTCAGTTTTATAAAATAAAAATTAATTTTTTTGTTATATATTTACATATAGCTAATTGAAATTTTCTCACAATCTAGTTGTTGGTAGGAATTACCAGTTTAATGACTGTTTAATGTTTGATGTTTTCAAATTAAATTGTGCATTTAATCCCTCTGAAACTAAGTTTCATGCATACTACTGTATGGAGGAGGTCAGCCTTGTCTTTCAAATACAACAGTAAATCCTCTCTGAAGCTTATTCAAAAATGCAGCTTCCTAATTTTTTTTCTTCTAGAAAGCTACCAGCAACTGCCAAACTTTCCAAAAGGAACATCTGATTCCTAATTCTTTAGCTGAAAATTTCAGAGCTAAACAGCAGAAAATTTTATTTGTGGTGGACCATTAGTGCCAAATGGGCACACACGCAAAGCAGAGTGATGGACCCTGCTGCAGAAGGCCAAAGGCTGATTTATGTTCCTCATTCTCTGAGGTACCTAGTATCTAGGCCTGAAATGATTCTGTAAGGCACTGTGGGGACTGCTAAAGGTGCTGAGAAGGAAGAAGCCAACCTTCTGGATATGGCACCACTGTCTGCTTTATATGTAAGACATATCATCAGCCATTCTGCACGCCCTCTGCTGTGCTTCCATCTGATGGGTCGCAATGTAACTTCATGTTAGGGGCAGCTGATTCAAGTGCTTCAACAGGAATTATTTTCCTCTAGTCTGCTGGCAACTGACTAGGAAGATAAAATTAGGAAGCATTACTTTCTTACCTACTCCAAATATATAACCATAAATACACTGGAGGATATATTCAAGTAGTGAAAATACTTGCATACACATTTATTTTAACAAAGATTCTTCCACTATTCAGGTGGCTTAAGAAAATCTTATACCAAATGCGGGGTATCACAGGCCACTTGTTTGGGTAAAAATTTACTGCTGAAGTAAGTTTCCAAGTCCCAGGATGAGAGGCCTTGCTGAAGTAAATTGTAAGATATAATAAATATATAAATATAGCCATTGTTTTGTAATGATCTGATAAATCAGCATTTAATCCATTTTAATTATTAAATCAATTTAATTTAGATAAAATATTAACATCTAGGAAAAACATATTTCTTTAAGAGTTCTAAAGTTTAAATTGTCACTTTAGAAAGTGAACTTTATAAAAAAAATTTTTAAAAAGTATTATGAAGTTAATTAACCTCTAGCTAAATCACATCTTAGTCAATGTGGCCAAATGCAGGTGGAATAAACTATTTAAAATAAAGATGAAGAAATTTATTTTTTATAACTAAATTTTATTTTTATAACTAAAATCAATTCAACAAATATTTATTAAAATAGATGAAAAAAATAAGTAGTAAAGAAACTCATTTTTTTAAATGTTGCAACTTAGGGTTTTTATTCCTTAACCACTCGTAGATCCCTTAAAATAAAGTCATTACTTCTATAACTAAAATTAAGGTTTCCTTAAAGAACCTAGTAATTTATAAAAATCATAGCCACGTAAAAACAAAGTAAACAATATCATGAAATAGCTAGTTTTTCCAAGTATATAAAATTAATATTTGGTGACTGAATTTATAATCTAAAAGTACTTTTCTTTTCATTTAAAAAGAGAATGTCTATGCCAGGACCGGTTTGGCTCAATGGATAGAGCGTTGGCTTGGGGACTGAAGGGTCCAGGGTTCGATTCCGGTCAAGGGCCTGTACCTTGGTTGCGGGCACATCCCCAGTAAGGGGTGTGCAAGAGGCAGCTGATCGATGACTCTCTCATCGATGTTTCTAACTCTCTATCTCTCTCTCTCCCTTCCTCTCTGTATAAAATCAATAAAATATATTAAAAAAAAAAAAAAGAGAATGTCTACTCAGGTAAATTACCTACATATATCTGCAAAAACACAAAACCCTGCTCTATGTCCCTCACTTCATTTTTCATGCCTTGGAAAATTATTAAGTTTCTCATACTTTTCTACACAGAAAGTCCGTTGAAGTTTGGGCTCCATTTATTCCTGGCACAGAGAAAAATAATTCTTGTTCACCAATTTCTTTAGCAAAACTATGCCCTTCCACCCCCCGCCCCCCAAAGGCTTTTTGCTTGTTTTTATCTTCTATGATTTTACTTAATATTAGTTACAGGAGAGGTTTTTCAGTTGCTAAACATCATTAGTCATTTCTCTCCATGGAAGCTATCAAAAAAACCCCTTAGATATCTTATCAATATGACTCTTCTGTTCCTTACCTCAGAAAATTATCTGAGATAAACCTTTCTTAAATCGTTTTTTATGCCCTACCAGTTTTGCTCAGTGGTTAGAACATTGGCCCATAAACAGAAGGTTGGCAGTTTGATTCCAGTCAAGGGAACGTACCTCAGTTGCAGGCTCCATCCCCTGACCCGGGCATGTGCTGGAGGCAACCAATTGATGTGCCTCTCAAATATCAATTGATGTGCCTCTCACATATCGAAGCTTCTCTCTCTCCGTCTCTCCCTCTTTTTTCCACTCTAAAACATATGAGTAAAGTAACTGTCTTATTGAAAATTCCTGATTTATGTGGACCAATTCAGAATTTCATTTTGGATTAAGGCAGGTATAAACAGTAAGTACAGTGAAATTGTTTGAAAACATCTAGTCAGCTTTCTACTGAAAAACAGCACACAGGTGAGAAAAGCAACAAATACTTTATAAAAGAGTAATTGTTGAGAATTAACTGAATTCTAAAAAGTTCTCTCCTTTCTCTTCACTGCTCTAAATAAATTTACCTTAACTGAAATATAGACTCTTACCTTACTAAATTCGTCATTGCGAGAATTTCTGGATCATTTTTGTACGGTTTGGCCTAAATAGTAAAAGAACAATTAACTATATGTACAAAGTTTATTTCCATGAAAGACAGCTGACAGAAATGAACACACATACCTCCTGTGAGTCAAATGGATTTATTCCCGATTTCATTAACATATTTGCTAAGACCAAGTATTTTAAACAAGTGGTTCTTCTTGGACTTCCTGATTCATCATAATTCTTGAAGGCTTCAAAAAAATCAGTGTGTGCCTTTTCAAATTCACCTTCCCGCAAGTGCATTTTACCACCACATTCTGTAGAGGAATAAACCATAAGATAACATATTCAGTGTCATAACAAGACTGAGCATTTTATAAAAATTAAATGAATATTATTTCATTGGCTTCCAGTCTTTTAATTCTTATTACATGAACCGTACTAGCCCCAGGGTACACTACCTCTAAAAAACAAGCTCTTTATTAAAACATGAGAGGTCTGGTGCATGAAACTTGTACACTTGGGGGAGGGGAGGTCCCTTAGGCTGGCCTGTGCCTTCTCACAGTCCAGGAGTCCTTGGGGGATGTTGGGAGTGGGCCTAAGCCATCAGTTGCTGCTGTGGAGGCAGGAGAGGCTCCCGCCACTGCGTTCACCAGCTTCTGGCTGAGTGGCACTCCAGCTGTGGAAGCGCACCAACTACCAGGGGGAAGCTCCTAAATTAAACATCTGCCCCTGGTTGGTCAGTGCATGTCATTGCGACCAGTCATTCTGCCATGTGGTTGGTTTGCATATTATCCTTTTATTATATGGAATCAGCCAAAAAAGCATTTGTAAGTCTTTCTTCTCAACTGAAATAGAACATAATTTTTCATACATTATTGCAATTCTAGAATAGAACTTATGATAATACATTTTCTATTATTATCTTCAATGATATAAATTTATAAGACAAAAATCCATCCTCACTTCTCTCTAGGACTATATCATTTCATTGACTTCACTACTTTGCCAATTACTTTCACTAAAACAGAAATGACCTTCAGAGTCATTCAGTTATTTGCAATGACAACTTTATGTCTTCCAGGACACTGCCCACCCTCTCCAAACCAAACTTGCCTCTGATGACTCCCATGATCAACGGGTGAGGGATGGCAGACTTGATGTGAAGTGACTGTTCATAGAGTGCTTTTAGTTTTTTGTTATTTTTCTGTGCCGTGTACATTTGAATTTCCAAAGCATATATTTCTAATAACTGTGTACCCTTTTTCAGGTCATCTTCTCCATCATCAGTCTAGGAAAGCAAATAAAACTTTAGAATTCAAGATAGAATTCACAGTCAGCCTAGTAATCTTTGATTTTTACCTTATATTTATAAGTTTCTTACTTTGTGTGAGAATGTGCTACAAATTTTAATTGGGACCTAGAGCCCTAAGAAGACTACCTTTAATGGCCAAAAAGTAAACTTATACTTTCTGGTATTCTGTAAGAAAAAAATGGCCAGAGGTATATTATTATGTATAAAATGTTATAATGTTGGCCTGGCCTGTGTGGCTCAGTGATGGAGCACAGAACAATGAACCAGGTCATGGTTTGATTCCTGGTCAGGGCACATGCCTGAATTACGGGCTCAATCTCATTGGGGGCCTGCAGGAGGCAGCTAATCAATGATTTTCACTCATCATTGATATTTCTGTTCCCCCTTCCCCATCCTACCCCTTTCTCTCTGGAATCAATCAAAATATTACAAAAGAAAATGTTATAATGTTTATTTTTTACCTAAGAGGTTATTTATGCTTTTTCCCAAATATTCACAACCTTTTCAGATCCACTGATTCAATAAAAAATAAAAAATAAAAACCTGAGTGCCTACCTTGTGCCTGGCACTGGGTCTACTTTGGGTAAGTTAAATAAGCCAATGTTCCTGGCCTAAAAGTTCACAATCAGTAGATTAAGCTATTAAGATAAATTACATTATAAATAATAACAACTGCAGTTTAAGCATGAACCAAGTACCTAGGGTTGGTATGGATGAGAAAGGGACTAACTCTCCTGGAGGATGTCAAAAAAATTAACAAGAGTGGTGACATTTGAGTTCAACTTTGAAAGATAACCACAAAATGCATATGGTCAATATTCAGAAAAATAGCATTACACTAATAAAAAAGAAATACCTAAATTGACCATACCTCCGTGATGCCACCAGCCAATCAGGAGGGGATATGCAAATCAGCAGGACGCCTGCTATGAGGAGGAGGGCGGGTGTGTGTGTGTATGTGTGTGTGTGTAAGGAGCTACAGGAACGGCCCTCTGGCCAGAGTCAGCAAGAAGCCTGCAAACTCTGGCCAGAGTCAGCAAAGACTCTGGCCGGAGCGAAGGAAGAAGGCAGTGGCCAGAGCAAAAGCCTGGGTCCCGGGTGCTGGAAGAAAACCGGTGCTGGCAGCCAGGGGAAGGAAGGACTACTGCACGAATCTATGTGTAACGGGCCTCTAGTATAGTCAATAGTCAGATAATCATAAATATTAAATACGATTTATACAAAGCCAAAACGTATTATTTATTTGGTCTTCCAACTTAAAACTTTTTTAGTTACACACTAATGAATCACAGCAGAGTAAAAATTATGTTCTGCAAGACAATTTGTACAGTCAGATGATCAAGCATCACTGCTACACTGTATTATTTACAATCTAGATGTTTTCCTTATACACTAAAATAAATCATGCATAATTTTCATATTCCTTATGTATACACGGAAAGATCCTTCCCCATTCAGAAATGGCTTCTCTATAACTTCCATTTCTTTTTTTTTTTTTTATTAAATATATTTTAATTGATTTTGTACAGAGAGGAAGGGAGAGAGATAGCAAGTTAGAAACATCGATGAGAGAGAGTCATCGATCAGCTGCCTCTTGCACACCCCCCACTGGGGATGTGCCCGCAACCAAGGTACATGCCCTTGACCGGAATCGAACCCGGGTCCCTTCAGTCCCCAAGCCGAAGCTCTATCCATTGAGCCAAACCGGTTTCGGCTATAACTTCCATTTCATGTGGGACCGTAATGACAGTTATTTATGCAACAAACTAAGCTTTCCTAAGAAGTGTAGGTAAGAAGTAATTCATAAATGACTGACCTGCTTTTGTAAAGCAAAACTATTATGAATTACAAATACTTTTCTTATTTTTAAAAAACTAAAAAGAGAAAAAAAAAATATTGGCAGGTGATTAATTTTTAACACATTCTTGATCAACTTTTCCCACATTCACAGAAATCATATATAATTAAAATAATAGTACACGGCTTCGGAAGAGCGTCAACTTTTAATTTTTAGAATATATTTTTATTGATTTCAGAGAGGAAGAGAGAGAGAGAAATGGAGAAAGGAGGAGAGGAGAGAGAGAAACATCAATGAAGAGAGGATCACTGGTTGGTTGCCTTCTGCATGCCCCACTAGGGATAGAGGCTGCAACCCAGGCATGTGCCCTTTTACCAGAATTGAACCCAGAACCCTTTAGTCTCCAAGCCATGCTCTATTCACTGAGCCAAACTGGACAGGGTGAAAAGTGTCAACTTTTAAAAACAGTATTTCTACATAACATTAAAACTAATATCAAATAACTTATTTATCAAGACAATAAGGAAATATAAAAATCATAGCTAAAAATTATGTAGAGGTACACTGTCCAGACCATCAGACCATGTGTGATTCAAATTTAAATTAATGAGCCTCGCTGGCATGGTTCAGTGGTTGAGCATCAACCTATGAACCAGGAGGTTATGGCTTGATTCCTGGTCAGGGTAAGTGCCCGGGTTGCAGGCTTGATCCCCAGTGTGGGGCATGCAGGAGGCAGCCAATCAATGATCCTTTCCTATCACTGATCTTTCTTTTTCTCTCCCTCTCTGAAATCAATAAAATCATTTTAAATTAACTGAAATATAAAACTCAGCACCCCTCTTACACCAACCACACTTAAAATGCCTAATGACATGAAGCTACTGCTACCACATTGGAGAGCACTGATAGTGTTTCTCACATCATACCAACTCCTGGATAGTGCTGTTATAGGGGATTCACACATTATAAACTAGAATATACATCTTCATTATATATGTCTATAATATCCTTTTCTGCATAACTAATTAAGAAAGGCTTATTCTTAGTAAGTATTAATGATTGGCCTGTTCATTTATTAATACCTGTGCCTCATCTCACAAACAAGAACTGAAGTTAGGAGTAAAACAGAAGAAATGTAATGCTCAGAAAAAATGAGCTTTCTGGTATAACTTATTTTCCAAATTTCATTTTTGGGATATTGCTTGAACAAAAACATCAATAAGCAATGTTTTGAATACAAAGTTTTCTCATGCTTTTTTTATTATTAAGAAATGTTAATAAAAAATTAATGGAGCCCAGTTGGTATGGCCCAGTGGTAAAGCATCAACCCATTAACCAAGAGACTGCTGTTTTGATTCCTGGTCAGGACACATGCCCAGGTTATGGACTTGATCCCAGGGAGTGGGCATGAATGAGGCAGTCAATCATTGATACTTCTATCTCTCCTTCTTCCTTTCTCTCTCTCTCTCTCTCAAATCAATAAAAACATATATTTTTAAAAAAAAATTTAAGAAAATTTTACCTGGCAGGATTGATGTAACTGGCGTAAAATTTTTTGAAGCTTTCCATATTCCTCCCGTTCTAAATACAATTTTCCAAGCTGTAAAGAAAGGAATTTATTAAAAACAAAACATTTCAATAGGAGGTGTGCATCTTTATGAGAGTTTTACTAAGGACACCCACCCACTCTTCAAAAGAAAAAATGTAAATAATTATAATCGTTACCTTTGTGTTTGTTTTAAACCACAGTCTATCATTCTTAGCATCTTTTAAAGCTTCCAGTGTTGTTTCATAAAATTCCTGCAGTAAATCCATCTGACATAAAAAATCAGAATTCTATAATTGTAAACAGCAAATTTGTACCTGTTAATAAAGTTAATTTGAGCAAACTAAAAGTGCATCTTTGAACTTTAATATACATAAGGTACACTATCATCTGTATCTTACCAAATGCCTGTGACAGTCCACAAAAATACATAATAATAGACTAAATTTACAAAAGATACATGCCAAGATGGTTTAATGTGAATTAAAAAACACACACAAAACAACAGAAAATATATAATACTCTAACAGTATAGATTTGTCCTTTCTAATCTAATAACTCATTTTATCTTAAAAGTACATGAACCATACACAGAACTAGTTGTACTATTATAAACAGTGTTTCCTTATTCACTCTTATTTGGTATGTACTGTGAGGCAAGCACTATTTCTACTTACTAGGATCAAGAAGTAATGGGGAAATGAGAATAGGAAAGACTGATACTTTCAGAAAGGGCTGCCTATTTATTTATGACTACTAATGGTTTACAGAATAAGTCAAGTGCTGCCCATTCAATATCTATTCTTACTTTCAAAAGACAAATAGCTTATATATAATAGTATGAAACAACATACAATCCTGAAGTTTTATAATTACTTAACCCTTTCTCCACAATCTGGCATAACGTTTATAAATAGTGTACAAAAATGTTTTGATGGTACTTACTTATAAAATTCAGAAAACATTTTCCCACTTAAGACAAGCCCCTTTGATACATAACACCTTTAGAATTAGTGTCATTAAATACAAATGTTCAAACAAAACATAAGTTTATCTTTCTCTTCCTCTATTTTAATCACATATCTTTTACATAGAGTAAAAATAGTACACTGCCTCAAGAAATAAAAATGGTATCTAGTAGAATAGATGGAACAAAAGGTTGATTTTGCGATGAACATTTTTTATTATGAATATAAAAAGTATCAAATATTTTAAGAAATATTAAATGATATAGAGAATACTTCTTATGCTGAAATACCAGTGTAAGAAAGACGAAACTTAGGACTATGTTGCTTAAAAGAATATGAAAAAACAATCCAAATTAAAAATTATCTTAGCAATAAAATAAACATCACCATTGCTTTTCTTAATCAAAATCTAGAATAATGAAAGCACCATCACTCCCAATGCTCATTGTAGTTTATCAACAGTCCCTCTTTTCATCATCCATCAATCCATCCATCCATCCATTCTTAACAGAAGCATTTTTTGAACAAACACCTAATGAGTAATGCCAAACACTAACTACATGAATACAGATTCTCCTCTGAAGGATCTTTATAATCAAATCTATACAAATCGATTGTGATTCACTGTTAAGTATTTAAGTAGCTCAGGATGGCTGCCTGAAGTATTGATGGAGTGTAGAAGGAATTGTGATAGTAACTGTAAAGGGGAATCTAATATCAGCCAGTAAAAACTGTGTGTAGATTATGTCAGCATATGAAGATATTATGTAAGGAGATTAGAGTTAATACCTTCTAATATCACATAATTAGTACCATAATCAAGAAAATAGTTGACAAAATTTTAAAAGCACACTAACAACAACAAAAAATGCTTCCATAAAATTTCTAGGCCTTAAAACAAAACAAAAACAAAATCTTTAATATAAATAATAAGCACACTGAGAGGTACCAAGAAGAAAACCAGAACCTAACCTGTTTAGAAGTGGAGATATAATCAAGGATAGAATTAATGGATTTTTCAGAATAATTTCTTGTGACTGCACTTCGAATATAGGTCAATAGTTGTTTATATCTGTTCATCATTTCTGGAAAGTTTGTCTGTGAGTTAAGAAAAATGCATTATTACACATTTATATACTAAAATATATGTAAACGATTAAAATTATAATATATATTACAGCATAACTGAAGAATAATAGTTTTATGATAGAGAAACTATGACAGAAACACTATAAACATTTTAACTTAAATTTGAATTACTCAGATGCATGAACTAAATTTATAAAGTTAGCCAATGAAGAAGTACAACTTTTTATTTTTTAAAATTATTTTTTAAATATATTTTTATTGATTTCAGAGAGGAAGAAGAGATAGAAACATCAATGATGAGAGAGAACCATTGACTGGCTGACTCCTGCACGACCCTACTGGGAATCAAGTCTGCAACCCAGGCATGTGCCCTGACCAGCAATTAAACCGTGATTTCTGGGTTCATAGGTCAAAGCTCAACTACTGAGCCATGCTGGCCAGGAAAGTATACTTTTTATTTTCAAATTTTAGATATTGTTCCTTTCTATGCAAGAAACATTTATTTAAGTCATAAAAAGCACTAAAATATCCATCAGCCAAAAAATATAAATACAACTTTTAAAATGCCTTGGGGACCATCTATGCAGGTATCAGCTATAGCCTCTTCACCATGATGCTTTCTAACAATAGTTACATTTCTCTTCTCCCTAGTATTGGCTGACTCTGCATTAAAATGCGATGTAAAATAATCTCTTCACAGGTATTCATTCCACAATCAAGAAAAGTTCTCCCATGTAAGGCTCTACTCAAAAGTAGATGTAGCTAATGTTGCCATTCCTTGCAGCTCTATTTGCAATACTGTGGTTATTCCAGGAAATATGAAAGATCTGAAGAAATAAAGGACTACTAGTAAAATTTCCAGCACAGAAAGGCGGAGCACTGACAGTTATGCTTTTTTCCTTGAGTAATAAAAAAAAACATTTATTAGGGTGAAGAATAAACTAATGATACTGTAATTTTCCTGCTTATGACTATGCCCTGCTCTGGGATATAGCCTAAGAGACAAGAAAACAAAAACAAAAACAAAAAAAAACCACCAACAACAAAAAAAACCAAAAAAAAAAAAAACCAAAACAAACAAACAAAAAAAAGTAAGACGACTCCCTAAAATTTTCTGAGCAAGAACTGAATTACAAAAGTGAAAACAGTAATAGGGGTGAATGAAAAAATGGATAGAACACAGAAAAAGATTTAGTATTATATACCAAACTACTTCTCTTTCCAAGAATGAGCATGTGGGGAATATTAAGTAACATCCTATTAGTAAATTGCTAATAGGTAATTACAGAATGTATCTTTTGACAAAAGGAAAATAAAAAATATGACTGTCCCAATTTTGAGATCATATCTTAAAATAGGATTTTAACAAAAAAGACTTGATTTCATTTTCTTATGCCATTACTTCAAAAATTATTACTATAATTAAAGATTGAGGAAAGATTAGGTAAATTGGTTTTATCTGCTGTGAACAAACAGAGTAGTTGATAACAAACCTGTTAATTTTTTACTGCCCAAAACCACTACTCAGCAAATGGGTCCTATTCGGAACCAACCAGAAAATGAAGGGGCAGGAAAGGAAGCTGAAACTACCCATATAAACCTTAACGTATGTAGAACAAATAAAATGTCGAAGAGGAAAGTAGGCAAAATAACATAAAACATATATCATCCTTTCCCTTCCTTGCTTCCTATATTGGCTCTAGGTACAATGGTGAAATCAAGCCCTGTGTGTAGGATATGCTTAAATGGGTTCAAAAATTAAATCACTCTTAACTGCTAAGACAGCACATTGCTTTAATTTCAGTAACAGAATTTCTATAGGGTTTCTTGGCATTATTTCAAATCACAAAATCTTAAGAGTTAACATGAGGTTCCTAATGTCACTATAATTAATCAAAATCTCTACACCTTGAGACATCTGCTGCTTTTTCCACAGCCCTCTAACCAGTTTACTGATTTAAATACAATAAATATTTTCACAAACAATAAATGGAAAGAAAACACAGGGGCTTTGTGTAACACAGAGTTACTTTGAGAATATCATAGCAGCAGAATTAGAAAAGGGCAAATGAAATAAAGTTATTTTCCCACTATACTTATTTATTTTTAAAAAATATAATTATTTTTTTTACAGAGAGGAAGAGAGATAGAAAGTTAGAAACATTGATTAGCTGCCTCTGCACACCTCCTCCAGAGGATGTGCCCGCAACCAAGGGACATGCCCTTGACCGGAATCGAACCTGGGACGCTCTATCCACTGAGCCAAACCTGTTTCGGCCACTATATTAAAAAAAAAAAAAAAAAAAAAAAAAAAAAAAAAAAAAATTATTTTTTAGAGAGAGAGAGGGAAACATTAATCGGCTGCTCCCTACATGCCCCCTACCAGGGACTGAGCCTGAAACTGAGCATGTACTTCAAACCAGCAACCTTTTGGTGCACAGGATGACACCATATACTGGCCAGGGTTCCTTAACTATATGTAAATACAATATACAGTATACTTAATAACATTTAACATTTTAAACAGTTCTTATATTTTTGGGGAAGAAACTGAGCTAAAATATTTTGTGGATAGTTTCTGTAGATGTCATGGAGATGGGTGATGATGTCAGACTGAGAGTACACCAAAAAGAGCAGGATGCAGGATTAGTGAAGTTAACTGGATAGTCACTAATCAATTTAGGGAGTTCAATTTCAGATGGAGATAGGATAGAGAAGCGCGCGTGTGTATGGTGATGGTGATGGTGGTGGTGGTGGTGGTGGTTCATCAGCCTGGCCTGCGCTCTCTAGCAATCCCTCTGGGGATGTCCAACCACTGGTTTGGTTCCCTCTTCAGTCAACAAAATATTTGTGCATCTACTGAATGCCAGTCACTATGATAAGTGCTAGGAATATAATGATGAATAAAATGAAGTCCTGTTCTCATGTTACTTTCACGCTATGGATTGGGGTGGGAGGGGTCACATAAAAGTAATAAATAAGTAAACAGATCAGGTGGTGATACATGCAAAGAAGAAAAACAGCAGGGTAAGATGAAAGTAAATGATGATGGGAAGCATGTTATTTTATAGAGGGTGGTCAGGGGAAGGACATCCTGATATACGATGACATTTGAATAGAAACTTGATCAAATGATGAAAATAGCAATATGGCTATCCGTGAGGAACATGTCGGGTAGATAAAAGAGCAAGTCCAGCATTTACATAGGAATGTGCTTAGATGACATGAGGAACAGCAAAGAGTGACAGAACAGAAAACAAGATATATTTTGAAGAGCTATAAAGCCACCAATAAACTAGATTTACCAACAAATTATTTGCAAGCTGAGTGAAGTCAATAATAATGCTAATTAATAATGATAGGTTCTGGGCCTAATCAGTGGAAGAGAAACTCTTTGTAATAAAAAGAAGAATGTTAATATTCTGAAAGTAAAATGTTAAATGCTAATAGTTTGTGGGGAAATTACTCTATTAATAATGCAGGCAAATATTGCCCATGTACCTAATGGGTAAGTTTTCTTAAAAAACAAACAAACATACAAACAAACAAAAAACTGTTGAAAAACAAAAAAAACTTTGTATGCTATTTAGAACTTTTTTTAAAACTTAGTATTATTGTAGTCATAAAAAAACTTGCCTAAATATGATAACATATAAACAGTTATTTTAAACAAGTAGATATAATGGTATTTTGTCGCATGAGGTTTTTACCTACAGATTTTATTTTAAAACCTATTATTTTAATTCCTTTCAAAACAAATCTTACCAACTTGAAGTTAATCTTAATCATTTGTTTCAGTGCTTTAAAGCCCCATTCTCCCTTTTCACCTTCAAGTTCCAAAACCTAAAAAAAGAAGAAATTCTTAGTCTAACTTAATATTATTATTTTCTAATGACATTCAGTAACTAAATTTCTAATTTATTTTACATCATATGCAAGAAAAATATTTCCCCAAGAATTCAATTTTTCAATATTATTTTTAAAGGCTTAAAAAGAAACAATCTTAAAATGCTTACTTAAGGAGTTTATTTTGATGTTTCTTCATCAAAAATTAAGTAATAACTACTTCTTGATTATTATATAGTTCCAGAAGTATTTTTTTTCCATAGTCTATTATCCGTTGGTACGAATAACCCAAAAGTATATCATTAGTCAAGAAATCACATTATTTAATTATGAAACTACACCTATGTAATCTGTCCCCAAAAGATTGCAGGGATATCTACTTACTATAATGTTGGTTCCCTTACCAGAACCATAATAATTTTTCAGGACAATAACCCTGGCGCTATAAAAAGCTAGATGGGAAATAAAAAACCACAGGACAGACCTTTAGAAATATACTAGAGGCCTGGTGCACAAAATTTGTGCGGGTGGGGTGGGGGGGAAGGGGCGTGTGGGGAGGGGTGTGTGTTCCTTAGCCCAGCCTGCACCATCTTCAATCTGGGACCTTTCAAGGAATGTTTAACTGCCCATTTAGACCTAAATGGGCAGTGGGACATCCCTCTCACAATACAGGACTGCTGGCTCCCAACCGCTTGCCTACCTGATTGCCCCTAACCGCTTCTGCCTGCCAGCCTGATTACCCCCTGACCACGCCCCTGCCAGCCTGATCAACGCCTAACTGCTCCCCTTTTTGCCTGATTGCCCCTAACTGCCCTCCCATACTAGCCTGGTCCTGCCCAACTGCCATCCACTACCAGCCATCTTGTGTCCACATGGGGGTGGGCATCTTTGACCAAAAGGGGGCAGCCATTTTTTTGTGTTGGAATGGTGGTCAATTTGCATATTACCTCTTTATTACATAGGATGATTATATAGGACTTTTGTGCTGCAAAATGCAAAAATTTTATAGGATTATCACTAAGTATCACACATTTCTGAGGTAAAGTCACTTGGAACTTATTTGATCTAAGACGTCATTTAAAAAAAAAAAAGCTTTAAGACACAGAATCAACCAGAAAAAATATGAACCTTCTGGAAACTGCTTAATGCTGCTTTTGGGTCATCTTCCTTTAATGCTTTGGAATTATAGTATTGATTTTCCAAATCCACATTTGGCTCGGAGTTACTATCTTCAGAGTATTCCTGTGTGTTTGAAAAAAACACCAAAACAACAGATGTTAAAATGAAAAAAAAAAAAAAAGGAACCCACACAACTACACTGTAAAAAGAAAAGACAGAAATATCATACAACTATAAACAACATTAACAACCTTGGATATAGAGGTAAAATGCCCTATTTAACCATTATATTAAAAACTAGGGGAAAAGCCAAAATCAAGTGGATAGTACAATAAAACAATTTTTCTTTCATATCAAAACTATAATTTCCATAGAACCAACACAAAAGCAAAGTGCAAATAAATAACATTGGTAATGGCCCTCAATTCTGTAAACTGACCTTTTGTTAGTCACTGAACTCGACAAAAATCTACATGAGTGCTAATTATTCATCTTTAGTTCCATAATCCAAATTTCTCTACTCCCTAAGTCTAAATTTCATCATTCAACCACATCTAACTACCCAGGATAATCTGTGGATGACAGAGTAATCTACTGGTGAATATGTTAATAAGAATATTTGCCTTATGGGTATTCCAGATTACTAAACAGCTACTCAGTTATATCAATGTAATTTAGCTACCTTTATAATAAATCAAAATAAGTACAACAAAATGAATTTGTATAATTTTATATGACTTTTATCACATAGCTTCAGTTTCTACTACTTAACAAAGCAGAGAGTTGGAGTAAAACAATTACTTTGAGGAGCAGTATATACAAGTTTAAAAACAAAATAAGTCAATCAGAGAAAGATAAGTATCACATGATCTCACTCATATTTGGAATTTAATGAAAAAATAGATCCAGAAACATAGAAGCATGAAACAACAGACTGTTGAATCTCAGAAGGAAGGCAGGAGTGGGGGAATTGTGGATGGGAAGAAATCAATCAAAGAACTTTATATATATATATATACACACACACACACACACACATATGCATAATCCATGGGCATAGACAATAGGGTAGTGGAGGGCTGGGGTGGGGATGGTTTATAAGGGGTCAATGGGAGAAAAATAGGATGTATGCAATATTTTCAACAATAAAGATTAAAAAGAAAGAAAAAGAATAGTGCCAGAAAGTAAACACAAAATTACAGGAACAGTATTGTAATTTCTAGATCTAAATACAGTTAATATTTTTTAGATATTTATAGAAAATTCTTTAATTTTTCATAAAGACTCAAGAATGAAAAAAAGGTATATTCATAAGTGTAGTGTTAGAAAGCTGAAAAATACATAAGATGATTTTTTTCCCTGTGACCAGTAGATGGAAGGGCATGTTTGATATTAGTATAATACCAATTTTATCTGACCACAGTGACTTTGTAACGTGCGCCCTCTGGAGGATAATTATTTCTTTGTGTAAGGACATGAAGCACTGGCCCTCATACTCACAGGGTCAAGAACAGCAATTTAGTTATGTTTAAATTGATATGAAAACCCTTTGGAACACTTAGGGATGAGGTCAAATTTGGGATAGTGAATAAATTTCATGATCAGTCATTCATTTCTTAACCCTATAATATAGGTTTGACTACAATAAAACTGGTCAAACTAAAAAGCAATTAATAAAGATCGAAAAGCCAACCTGCATATCAAGTGATAGTTTCTGAGGGAGGTTTTAAAAGATTAGTGGGAGTTTGCCTGCTAGACAAAATAGGAGTGGGGAAAAAAGAACAGCAGATACAAAACAGCATATCGGGAAGTAACTACAAGCAATCATATTGTTGGAACATAAAAAGCCCTTATTGATTCTACCTTCATCATAATCTATGCACTTCCCCCTTTCTTTCCCATGCCATCATCCTCACCTACCAAAGCCACATTTAACTCTCCACAGCCTTTCCCTCTGTTAACCTTGATTTTTTTTTTTTTTTACTTTTAAACATAACAGATTTATTAAGGTATAATTTATATACCGTAAAACTCACTTTTAAAAAATATCTTTTTTTTTTAATATTGATTTCAGAAAGGGATAGAAATATCAATAATGAGAATCACTGATCTGCTGCCTCCTGCACGGGCCACTACTGGGGAATCAAGCCTGCAATCCAGGTATGTACCCTTGACTAGAATCAAACCTGGGACCCTTCAGTCTGCAGGCCAATGCTCTATCCTCTGTGCCAAATCGGGTAAGGCTCTTTGTTAACCTTTACATTCCAATCTTGCCATGGCAAACAGCCAGAATAATCTTCATAAAATGTAAATTATATCATTTCTCTTCTTAAAAATGGTTTCCATTGCTCTTAACATCAAGTTCAAAAGTCATCAATATGTGACTCCTTACTATAGATCCAGCCATGTATCACTCTCCCTCACTTATTTTGCTGCAACCATTGTGCCCTTACTCACAAGTGGCCAACTCTCTCATCTTTATATGCCACCCTCCTTTTTCTACGCCTTTTAACCTGGTTAACTACTGCATATCATTATACAATAGCTTAAGTATTGCTTTCTTTAAGAAAAACTTAAAGATTCAGATCTATAAAACCTACTCTACACCTTCGGAAATAATTTTTTTCTTTTTTTTTTTTAAATAAAATATATTTTATTGATTTTTTACAGAGAGGAAGGGAGAGGGATAGAGAGTTAGAAACATCGATCAGCTGCCTCTTGCACACCCCTCCTGGGGATGTGCCCACAACCAAGGTACATGCCCTTGACCGGAATCGAACCCGAGACCTTTCAGTCCACAGGCTGATGCTCTATCCATTGAGCCAGGTTTTGGCGGAAATAATTTCTTTTAAAAAAAATGTTTTTATTGATTTCAGGGAAAGGAAGGGAGAAGTTGAAACATCGATCAGCTGATTCTTGCACACCTCCTACTGGGGATTGAGCCTGCAGCCTAGGCATGTGCCTTGACCAGGAATCAAATCTGTGACTTCCTGATAATAGGATGACGCTCAACCAACTGAGCCACATGGGCCAGGCTGAAAATAATTTATTCTTTAGTTAACTGTTCAATAACATACAGCAATAGCTAGCTCAACCAGCAGAAGACTTTTCTAAAATACAAATCTTCAGAATTCACCTTTGAATATGGAATTAATTTTTTTTTTTTATTTACACCTATTTCAAAGTCTAAGAATCTGGACTGTCATTCAAAGCCCATTTATTTTTGGTGTCTTATCCATAACAGATTAGAAAAAACAACTTAGGCAAGGATATGAGAAGTGGGACACAGAAGCTGAGAGGAACCCATGATGGCAGCAGGTTGTGAAGCTGCCCGAAAAGGGGAAATAGAAAATGTTTTAGGAATTAAAAATGTTAACTTGAATTACCTGGTGGTTGGTGAAATGATTATAACACTGTTGAAGACCAGAACCTTTGCATTTGCTAATATGTCTACCAGAGTGCCTTTCCATTACATCTCTGGATGCCAGTTTATAGTGCAAGACTAGTTACCTAATCTTCTGGGACCTGACTGGCTTCAGACTAATGATATTTTTAAATTTTAGATGCTATAACTCCTCAAAAACCACATTAATTAAAATAAGATTTACTCCAACATTTTGTGAATATATTCTTTTGTTTTCTCATATGGTATAGGTTAAGAAATGGAATGTATATTTTTTGCATAAGTGCAATTAACCTCTTCAATGTTATTGCTTCAATGCAGGCGTCTTCAAACTACGGCCCGCGGGCCACATGCGGCCCGCAGAGGAGTCTGATCCGGCCCGCCAGGTTTTTTGGGTAGTGAGCGCAGCCGAGGTGTTACAGTAGGAATTAGTAGTTCATATAGTCCGGCCCTCCAGCTCTCTGAGGGACCATGATCTGGCCCCCACTTTAAAAAGTTTGAGAACCCCTGCTTCAATGTATAAATAAATACACAAAAATTGGCACAACTGATGTTACTGATTGGCTTCTTATAACTGGGCAGTTTCCTATTTTGTTCCGCAACATCATGTTCATATGGTTTGAACCAGTCTCCAAGACACCATTAACCTGCCATTTGTGGCTCAGCAAATCACACCCATCAATGCAAGCTGTGTATTACAGCAAATTACTTTTCAATTATTACACTATCATGATTTCTAAATTGATGACATTTTGAGAAGTCTTCATTCTGTTTAGATTTCTATTATTTATACTCTATGATATTGATTTTTAATATATACTCACAATTAAGTACAATTTGCTCAGAAAAATGCAAATTAAGTCTTCCTCTTCTCAAACCACTCGGAGACCAATATGCAAAAATCCAGCAATATAACACATTAAAAGCAGTAACAGAGACACATACGAGGTACAGTGGCAGCTCAAAAAAGGAGTAATCAATTAATCTTGAGTGAGCTAGAGGAAGGAAAAGTTACCTGAACCAATTATAAAAGTATGAATAAGAGTTGCCAGTGATGAATGAGGAAGGGCATCTGAAACATAGCAGTTAATGTATGAAAGACAGGGAAGCTTGAAAAAGCAATGCATATTTGGAAGAACCATGGATAGTTTGGGCTGAAGAACAGGCTTTGTATAATGAGCTGATGAGAGGCAAACTGGTGTATAGAACAGAGGAACAGGACTATAGAAGTCTAGCAAGAAGTTAAGATCAAATGGAGAGCTATTAAAAGAGTTTACAGAGAAATAATCAGATTTGTGTTTTAGGAAGAGAACTCTTGTAGCAATGAAGTAGCCCACTGAATACTCCTACAATAGTCTGGCCAAGAGAGGATGGCGGTCTGATTCTCAAAGGTAGAAGAGGGGGAAAAGAAAGGGAATAGAATTAATATAGAAGATGTTAAGTGATGTTGAGAATGTAAACTAAAAAGGACCTAGCACATGACATAAGATAAAGGAAAGTTATCTCTAATGACTATAGTGTCATTAGTTAGAATAGGAAATATAAGAAACGCCTTAAAGAAATGTTGCTAAACAGAATTCCCTTATATCAGAAGAATAGGAGATAACCAAATTTTGTAAAAGTTAAATGTTTTTAAAAAGTGAAACAGATTTTATTCAATATATTAAGAATGCTTTAAAAAACAAAGAAGAATTTAAGCAATATTCGAAAAAGAAACAAG